GGGATCTCGTAGTCGAGCAGTCTCGACTAGAGCTTTCTTACTTGTTTTAATTTGATATTTATTATACATTTGATAAATTATTATTATTTGGTCAATCGACTACGAAGCGGAAAATAGTTACAAAAGTAAAATTCATACAAGAAGGTTCATTACCATGATAGTTTCCCTTTATTGAAAATGTTGTCACTAACAATATTAGAGTTATTTAGATTTTAGACTTAGGCAAACAAATAAAAAGTCCCCTGAAGAGAATACTAAGAGCAAAAGATATCAAAACTGAAGCTGAGCTGAAATTATCAGACTAATGACAAACAAATTTTTGAATAAAGATTCTGTATGTACCGAATATGATATACCAGCATAGATCACTTTCTCCTCAGGTATCAGCTTTCCCATCCAGTCTATTCGACTCACAATCAATTAAGGTGATTTGACTTCACTCATAGAGACTTTGGAGTAGACGATATTCGATATTCGATTCGGCGTATGGTAGCAGTATCGATATCGCCAAGACGATTCCCAGTTCTGCAACTGGTCAACTTATGAATTGCAGCAAATTGCGCACGCCTCAAAGCAAAAGCCGCACAGCAATTGATTTTTGCCCGAAAAATGCCTGTCGGCAAATATTATTTGCCAGCTCGCATACCAATCGAAAAACAATCCATAAAACTGGCCATCAACTGGGGCGAGAGAGAAAGAGAAATGAGTAGAGACAGGCCGGAGACGGTGCTGATGACACGAAGATGCTGTTCAGGCGCAGCTAATGGTCAACTCCTCTCGGGCTCGGCGCCTATGAGACATTTCAGCACGTCTCACACAAATTAGCGCAGTAATTGCAACGCCAATAACAATATCGTAAGGGAGGGCGTGCGGTCTGTAGGAGTGGGGACCGGGCTAGGCAGGGGCTTCTACACTGGCGGATCGAGATCTCGGGCAATAAATCAGCACAGTTACGCGAGGCAATTAGATAAAATGGCTGAACGGTTGCTCTTCCCGCATATCAATTGCAATACATCTCGATTCGTATTGCATCTCTGCTCTCGGCTCTCTACTCTCGATGTGTCCGATGAAGTTGTTGTCAATGCAATCCATAAGATAAAATAGCCCAAAAGTCACCGATTGCATGTGCATTGGCCTCAACGGCCCCAATAGCCCCAGCGGCTCCGACTACTTCGCTGGACACAATCGCAGACAAAGTATCTAATCTAATGTTGTTTTCAAAGACAATGAGCATTTGTTTCAATAAATAAATGCAGCAGCCGCAACACACCAACAATAAGTAAGACGGCTCTAGTCGAGACTGCTCGACTAGGAGATACCCTGAATCCTCGAAGCTGATATTCTAATCATTCTGCACTTCTTCGGCTGCACTACGGTTATAGGGAAGTGGGGCAATATTATGAGAATTTATGTTAAATAATTTTCTTATGGTAGGACTATCTTTGTGAAACAAAGTACAGGTCTCTAGTACCTGAAATATGTTTTTACAAATTATGGGCGAGGGGGCGTGGTATCCAAAATCTGTAAATTACATAATCTTCGTATTCATCAAATTTATATAGACATTAAATCATTCTTGGTCTAAGAATGTTTAAATTGAGATCTCGGCGTTCATACGGACTGACAGACGGACAGACGGACGAACGGACTATATCGACTCAGCTCATCGTCCTTCTGCCTTTTACATACTTTTTCACAAAAGCGTTATGCAATGATTTCCCATTTTCAATGGGTTCAGGGTATAAAAACTGCAGCAACAACAACTGCACCAAACATCGCCCCAGGGGTAGCTCGACTAAAGCAATACTTTGTAATTAGCCTTAGCCATGTGAGCGACTTTTAATTATCTTTTTTAATTAACTAACAAAGACAAAAACAATATTATTGCGAAAATTACAAGCTGCAAAAGTCGGAGCTAAAAGTTCAATCAGTTTTTTTCATTAATATAAAGCAATAGTTTCAATTCGAATATATAAATGATTCTGAATGCATGTCCGATCGACAATTTATAGTTAAACTCGTATATTGTAGAAAAATCATGAAGTTTTCGAAGGGGAAACAATCTTTTTTTGATAAATATATATGTTTTGAATGTTCATTATTTGTAATATTATTATTATTATTAATATTATTAATATTATTATATATTGGTATTGTGACTGCAACAGTAGGAAACTAGAAGAAAACTATATATACATAAATAGTTGCAGTCGCAAAAGCTGAATATTCTAATATAATATTAGTTGTAATATATAATAATAAGTTACTACTTAATACTTAATATATAGTAGTAGAATTAAGAAGGGTGTTCTATCAAATATTGTAATGTATGCGAAAAATGGGGCTGTTCCTTTTGAAAACCTGAACTTCATCGAATTTTAAAGCTCTGAAGAAGCCTTTTATTTATTTACAATTTCAAAACATATTGAGGCACACTGAGGCTAGGTGACTCAATCATGCCCTATTGGCAATTTTACATATACAGGGTAGGCAGCATCGCGTGGCTGGCCAAGTGTAAAAAACTCAGCATCTAGAAGTTCGGCCAGCTTGTAAATCGCCCACTCGACGCTGACATTTTTTCATAATTTGCGCTACAAGCTTGACAATTGTCGTTTGTTGCCCACTGGGCAATGTTTTTATTGTTGTTGTTGTCGTTGTGGCTATTCTCGCTGTTGTTGCTCTTCTGTTGGCAGTTTGTGTGCAACTGCAGTGCGCCGCATCCGTTTGGCCAAAAGCTCTTCGAATGGCGCGAAACGCGAAGTGTTGGCGCTTTCGCACCTCCAATTCACAGCTTCAGAGCTCCAAGTGAAACCTCGTTGTCCTCCTCTATTCTCCCCTTCCCCTTCCTCACGCTGATGCATATGCAATGCTAAATTAAAATTTATCCGTTTTCTGGCGCTGCGGGCAGCCAATAACTGTTTTAAGCCAGCTCTTTTTGTAGTCTTATAATACATATACATATACATATAAATATATCTTTTTTTTTTAATATTTGTTTGTCGGCTTGGTTTTATTGCTGCTAGTTTATTAGTCAAAAATTTCGTAAGCGCTTAATGCGCAACAATTGCGGTTTCGCATATGGGGCAGCAAGAAGAAGAAGAATAAGAAGAAGCAGATGCAGAAGCGTTCGTCCCGACGGAAGTCGTTTGCGGTTCCACGCAGTTGAATTCAATACGCCAAACAGCTACCAAGCACGCACAGAGATACACACACTCACGCACACACATGCATACTCACACAAACTATCTGTCTCACTCTTTTTCGGCATTTTGTCAAACTTGATTAGCCGTAGCCGTAGCTTATGGCCTTATTGCTTACTTGCATATTTAAAAAGCCACATTCTGAATCATAATGATGTTGCTCTTGATGATGATCTCAAAATCTCTTACTCTTTCCACCTCTGTCTATTTTCCTCTATCTCTATCACACTCTCTATCTCCCTCTCGCTATCTGTTATGCTCAATCCATCTCTATCTCTCTCCCACTGTGTTCTTCTTTTGCAGGCAGAGGGCCCTCCGGTTCAAGTTGAACCAGTTGATTTGAGTCTACGTTCGCCGCGCGGTAAGTTGCTAATTATACACATTTCCATCTTAAAGCTCCATCTGCAGCTACTTTTATTCCCGTGGTTGTTGTTGTTGTTGTCGTTATTTGCTAACGCATGATAAATATGGTTCCGAGTAATTAATCAATGGACTAGCCATCATCTGCGTGAGGTTGGCTTTTCAAAACGGGCCAAGTGAGCATTTCGAAGAGAAACCAATTTGAATATCTAGTGAAAAGCGATCGGAGGCGGGCTTTTTAATTATAAAAGTTTACAGCTTAAGCAACTTTCGTAGTGGGTGGCAGGTAAAAAATCTTTAATTGATAAGCAGAAACAATTTTAAGGCTAACTCCTAAGCGATTTGCCACTGACTCAAGACTCTTCAATGAAAGTTGAAAGTTTTCGATAATTTGTGCTCATACGTTTCACCAAAAAAAAAAAAATAAAAAAAAAAGGGTTTCTAGATAGTCGCTGAAAATACATAAGCTTAAAGCATTTACCGCTTAATCGCTTATAAATCATTGAACAATATTCTTCAAGCCGTTTACTCTTTAAATAACTCACTAATTATATCTATTGCAAATACCCTCAATTCTCTCTTTGATTTTGCTTTCATATAAATATTCTGTTTATGTGAAATTGTTTGGTTTGTTATATATACATATACATTAAAAAAAAGCTCACGAAATACGATTTACGTATATAGCTCAGATATGCAAGGTTGACCAAATTGGAAGAACCCATTTTTATACCCTGAACCCATTGAAAATGGGAAATCAGGGTTAATGGTTTTGTTGAAATGTATGTAACAGTCATAAGGAGGCGTGGCAGACCCCACAAAGTATATATATTCTTGACCAGGGCGACGAGCTGAGTCGATTTAGCCCTGTCCGTCTGTCTGTCCGTCCGTCCGT